TGTTGAATTAATAACTATAATAAAATTTAATATAATTAATAAGTATATAAATATAATTTACACTGCTGTATGGTACATATGAAAGGTAAGAGAGTAAATCCTAAGAGTTTTCATCACAAGGAAGATTTTTTTCTCTATTTCTTTACTTTTGTATCTCTAAGAGATGATGGATGTTCACTAAACTTACTGTGGTAATCATTTCATGATGTATGCAAGGCAAATTTTTGTGCTGTATGCCTTAAACTTACAGTGCTGTGTGTCTGTTATACCTCAATAAAACTGGAAGAAAAAACTTGCAACGAAATTCAGAAATTGTTATTAATGAAAGGGCCTTTGATGCAGACTGAATGTGTGCATTCCCTTCACTGGGGATGAGCCTTAGAAATCACTAATGAAATTTTAATGTGGAATACACTCCTTTTCAACCAGAAAAAGTTCTTCAAGTTTATGGTCAATGATTAAAAACAACAACAACAACAGTATTTTCATTCATTTAAAAAAACCTGCTCATGCTACCAGATAATTTACTGATTTTGGCCAACAGTTGTACAGGTTACACTTGAAATTAACCAGAGTTAAATCAAATGAAGAATTTTACTTTCACTTTCTGAAGGACCTTCATGAACCATCTTGATTCTCTTAAAATCAGCGGGGAGTGAAATGAGCTACCTTGACACTGTATTTCTCTTGCCCTGGCCTGAGACATTATCCATCCTGGACTCACAGGGTGGTTTTTGTGTTTTTTTTCTCTCCAAAAATGTTGAGTAGAAGGTATTCTCCTTCTTTATTATCAATAAAAATGTTTTTTTCTTCATAAACATGCAGAGAAGTATCATTTCCAACCTCTTCCAGGAGTCCTCTCTTCAAAGTTGTAACAGATTCTCCAAATAACCCCATGGAACTCAATTCAGTATTTTGTGGTTCATACTATATTGAAAGTGTCATTTGTCCTTCTATACATAAAAATAGGTGCCAACCTGTGTTCCTTGTTTATCACAGTATTCTAGGAAAATAAGAAAAGACCAAAAGGGTCCTCTTGAATTATCAGAAATTTTCTGTAGCTTTGTCAGGATTAGAACCCACAGCTCTTTCCAAAACTTTTTGGATTAAGCAATTGTAAAATATGATTTTGACCTTTATTTTTATAAACAATACCATGGGCATGAAAAAGTCTTTTAGATGGTGGGAAAATGACAAAATAAATTGTGTGAGTGTGATGGCAAAAATTATTAGATAATCCAATTGAACCAAAATTATCCAAGACAAACTAATGTGATCAGAATGATCTGATCCTCAACCAAGAATATGGGGCCATTTTAGAAGAAGAATTTCATGGGTCTCTAAGGTGATTTTGGCTTATAACTCTATTTTAGAAGAACAGTTCTATGCTTTAAAAACAAACAGCTGTACAAACTGAAGTTGAAGATCTGTGTATTTCCATGTCTAAATACTTGATTCCTTTCTGTATTTCTTTATTTTAATGCTAGTTTTTAATCTACCGTATCCTTTTGTTTGTTACAAAGTTAGCCTTGTGAGACCAGTGAAATAAACATCAAAATGTGTTTTTCATTTTGCCCAACTACAGTCTTTGTTGTTTTCCTTCATGTATTTTAATTTTACTTTTAGTCTTCAAAAAAGGAACAATAATACCAAATGGTACAAGTCTGATGCCATTCTTTGCCTCTTTATGTAAAGTCAGGTGGTCAGCAACATAAGTTATTCATGCCAAAGTTGCACTGAAGTTCCATAGATGGGGTAGTCCCAGAAAAGTTCATGGAGTAGGTGAAGTGGTCTTTGGTCCATTCCTGCTTTTCATAATAGCACCTCTTTCTTCCTTAGCCTCTTCTAGGCCCCCAATCGTATAAACATTTTTTCTTTTTTTACAGGAGTTCTAAAGTATTCACTGAAGGTGCTAACTGATAACTAAGAGGCTAATTAAGAGGCTAATTAATGGATGATTATTAATGGAGTCCATTCAGTCTCCACTGTCTGTAGACCGTGGATTGGCTTCTGAATCAGTGAGGAGTGGCCTAGGCCACCCCCAAACTATGGATCCTCAGTGAGGTAAGCTATATTGGAGAGTCAACCTGTATTCCCCAATGATGAAACACAATGTCACCTCCCTCAGAGATCCCATGCCACAGTAAAGAAACCTATGAATGAAATTTCTCACCACAAATGACAGGTGCTAAGAATTTTGAGCTTCCTAATAAGCTTTATGGGTTTTTCCATAGTGATTTAAAGAACTATTAAACATTTAAATGTGTTGCCTAGATAGTGGAATAGGAACGTTTTAGGGATGAAAGCTAGATGGACCTGCAGATCAGAAAAACTAAAAAGCTATAATAGTTCTAATTTAGGTAATTAATAGGACATATAAATGATATATTATCTGTTGCTTACTGTACCCACAGTAATCAAGTATGGTAATATCCATGAACCTAGTCTTGTCATTGAATGAAGTTTTAGTATTAAAATGTTAATTTTAACTCCTTAATAATGAAAGATTATTAAGGATAAAGTAGCCATCATACAAGGTGATAAAACTCCTGGTCAGTTTCACTATGATATCAAAATCTAATCACATAAGTTTATTTTCTTTTCTGCTCTTACAAATGTGTAGAAATAGAATCAAACTTATAGATAAATGAACTACAGACCTGATAGGTAGGTGTTATTCAGAGCTATCACTGTTGGGTTGGTCACTATGAGGAAACCACATAGTGAAGCTGAATCAGGCCTCTGTACCCTGACATGGAATTAAATCTTGGAGACATAGTTTTTGGTGAAGTAGAAAAGAATAGCTTCATTGCTTTGCCAGGCAAAGGGGGTCGCAGCGAGCTAACACCCTCAAAATTGTGTGTCCAAACCTGGAGGGGGTAGTGAGAAGTTGTTTTTTTTTTTTTTTTTTTGCGGTACACGGGCCTCTCACTGCCGTGGCCTCTCCCGTTGCAGAGCACAGGCTCCGGACGCGCAGGCTCAGCGGCCATGGCTCATGGGCCCAGCCGCTCCGCGGCATGTGGGATCCTCCCGGACCGGGGCACGAACCCGTTTCCCCTAGCATCGGCAGGCGGACTCTCAACCACTGCGCCACCAGGGAAGCCCGAGAAGTTTTATAATAATGGTTCAAAGAGGACATGATCAGCTCATCAGCTCATGGATATTCTTCTGATTGGTGGGTGGTGAGGTAATCGGGAGTCAGCATCATCAACCTTCTGGTTCCAACCGCTCTGGGGTCTACGTGCTGGTGGGCAGCGTACTGTTAACTTCTCCCACCTGCTAGGGGTTTCAGTATCTGCAGAACAGCTCAAAGATATCGTTTTGTGTTGATATATCCCTTGAGGGGGAACCAGGACCCTGTCCCAAGGCCACACTATTATTTTTTGACCGCCCCTCCCTTGTCTCCACATCCCCTCCCTTCCCTAATTAGCAACTGTTTGAACTTGCCTGTTGGAACTCAGGGAAGGTCATGGAGGCTGAATGAAGCCTATTTCCTGTAATCAAGAAATGGGAGACACAGAAAGGCTTTTGTGCCCAGGAGCCCCACAGGGTCCTGCTGGGTATCAATAGTGCTAGGTAGCAGGTGCCCCAGTAAGAAGCAGAGGGAGCTGTACATGGTGAAGGGAGGGAGACAATAAATGGGCTGCTGACAAAGCTTCAGTCAGACTTTCCAGGTTCAAACCCTGACATCGTTCCTTGGACAGTGTTGTGATTTGGGGCAAATTACTTGGTCTGTTAAAACCTTCAATGTCCTCATCTGTGTAATGGGGGTACTAACAGCATCAACCTTATAAAATTGTTTTGAGAATTAAATAAGCATGGCCATGCGTGAGCATTTAGCTCACTGCCAGGCAGCTCTATGTTAAATTCTGAGCATTATAAGAGAAAGCCTTCTAGAATTCTCTCTGGTGAAATAAATCACTGCCAGTAAATGGATTAGAAGTTTCATCATCGACAACTTCTTTTCTCTCCATATAGTAATAGAAGGAAATGGCAAAGAAGTAAACAAGGATAGTTAGACTGCTATAGTGCCCAATTATTCTCAAGCATAAAGTTACTATGTCTGGATAAATGGCTTCTGAAGAGAAGAGACTGTTCAAAGTGCTACTCTAAGGTAGGACTGACAATCAGCAATTAGGTATTGACACATAAGCAGCTCATAATTTTATGACTTATCAGAAAGAGGCGAGATAGGAAATGTGGGCAGAATAAGAGTATGTGACTGGGTAGGAGGGGCACTTTCTCAAAGAATGAGGCTATTTGGATCTGTTTCAGCTCTAAAGTTGAAAAGTCCCTACAATTTAGGTAAATCTACTCTCTTGCTCTCTCAAACTCCTTATTTCTCTATGATAGGTATGTTGGTAAGACCAAAGCAATGACTCTAAAAAACAATCTTGTTGAGCCCAGACACTGCTCTCAGTTGCTGAGGGAGCCTGAAGCACTTCCTGTAACACTTCTGAGGTTGGCTTCAACCTGGGGGTGATGCTGTCATGATTTATTCGTGATGTTTGTCAGGCAGAGAAGAGTAAGTGCCTATAAACATACCAGGAAAATGGCATCCTTGGTAACGTACACCTGAATTTAAATGGAAGCTTCTCCACTTATGAGGTCCTCGTGACTTTGAGTGAAATATTTAAGATATCTATCTTTATGATAAGTTATATGGAAAACTGGAATAATTACATCCATTTCTTCTTTAATTATGAGATTAAGTGAAATAACAAGGGCACCGAGTGGAGTTGGGTGCCTATTCGTTGCTCAGCCCATGTTAGGTCCACGGAACCCTCCAGAGGAGCCTCCAGGTTCACAAACTGTCTGTAGACGTGAGCAGCCTTAGGCTGGATCTGACAGCTGTCCACCCAAGACTCAGTTCTATGCCCAAGAGAGGCTCCGGGCATCTGTGGAAACAGCTCTGGGGATGTGCGGGGCAGCATCCTCTCCCTCTTTTCTAACGCGCCACTTAGATGGCAAGAGAAACTGTTAACGGCATCTGAGCAGGGTGTCCTTTCACTTAAATTGGCATGCATTTTTCTTTTCGTAATGACCAGATGAGTCCTTCAGTGACAATGATGAATTAGGATGAATCATGTAACGTGATACCAGGAAAACTTATTTACCGGAAGGCCTCTCAGGGTGAGTGTATGAGGAGGAGGGCTTAATGAATAGTGAGACCCCAGCCCCATGCCCGTGACGTGTTCCAGCGGAAGGATGGAAGTAGTGGGGTGATTAAGTGCACTGCACACTGCAGTGAGGGAAGCACGGGAGAGTGAGGGGAGGAGAGGTGCTCAGCCCACTGGACAAACATGGCGGGAAGAAAAGAGAGAGAAGGGGGCGGCAGGTCATGGGACAAAAGAGACAGTGCCAGAACTAACATGTCTGACGATACTTGAGAAAGGAGATAAAACTATATTTTATTTTTTTACTGAAGTATAGTTGATTTACAATGTTTTGTTAGTTTCTGGTGTACAGCAAAGTGATTCAGTTATACATCTATCTATCTGTCTATCTACCCTTTTTCATATATTTTTCCATTATGTTTTATTACATGATACTGAATATAGTTCCCTGTGCTCTACAGTAGGACCTTGTTGTTTATCTATTTTATGTATAGTAGGTTGTATCTGCTAACCCCAGACTCCTAATTTATCCCTCCCTCTCCCCTTTCCCCTTTGGTAACCATAAGTTTGTTTTCTTTGTCTATGAGTCTGTTTTGTTTTGTAAATAAGTTAATTTGTATCATATTTCAGATTCCACATATAAGTGATATCATATGCTATTTGTCTTTCTCTGTCTGGCTTACTTCACTTAATGGGATAATCTCTAGGTCCATCCATGTTGCTGCAAATGGCATTATTTCATTCTTTTTATAGCTGAGTAATATTCCATTGTATATATGTACCACATCTTCTTTGTCCATTCGTCTGTTGATGGACATTTAGGTTGCTTCCATGTCCTGGCTACTGTAAATTGTGCTGCTTGGAGCATTGGGGTTCATGTATCTTTTCGAAAAAACTATATTTTAATATCTTTCTACCTCCAAGCCCTGATAGCAACAAAGGAAGAGCATTTAGCTAAATGCAGTCATTTCAAAGTCTCTGCCATTCCCCAGGATGCCCTGGTCCTCTCTCTGGAATGCATTTCCTCCCTTTCCATCCGTGGTACCTTTCTACTCATCCTTTTTGGCCTTTTGAAACCTCCATGAACCACGCTGCTCTCTGAATGTTTTGCTACTCCCTCTTCTGTACTGTGTGTACTTTGGTCAGGCACCGATGCAATGTATGTCTGAATGTCTCCTTGAGGGAACTGTGAGAGCCTCGGGGCAGAGACTGAAACATTCTTTTTTATATCCCCTCCCTTTATGCGCACAGTACCTGGCATCGGTGATTAATGCAGCGTTCCACATGGAATTATTGAAATGAGAAGAAATTATAAAAACTGCCAAACTCATTTAATTCACTCAGTCTCCTTCAATTTAGGTTATACCAGCTGACGTGGCTTTTGCTTTCTCTCTCCCTCTTTCTTCTCAGACTTTTGCAAGAATTTCTTTTGTTTGTTTTTAGAGGGAGGAGAAGCTGTCTCTTTCTTCCTTAGTTCTTTCTTTTCCTTTCTTGCTTCCTTTTCCCTTCCTTCCTTCCTTCCTTCCTTCCTTCTTCAAATGGTCTATCGGTTTCTACAATGTACCAGGCACTGCGCCAGGCATAGAAAATAGAGGTATGAGAGACACCATCCTTGCCTTAGGGAGATAATATTTTAGTTAGAATTAAAAAAAAGTAAGCCTACAAATTAGAGTTTTCCACTCTGGGGCAAACTACAATCAGCTGTCTGAACACATGGGAGAGCCACGGAGGGAATCTAGGGAAAATATCCTACAGGAGACGATGACTGAAGTTTTGAAAAAGGATAAAATTTATCAGGCAACAAAAGGATGACAAAGTTAACATAGCTAGAGGTAACACCACTTACAAAGGGAGGGAGGGAGGGCAAAGTCTCATTCAAGAAATGAAAAGATTACTGGTGTGACTGTAGGGAAAACTACAAGCTGCCCAAGGAGAGAGAAAAAGAAGAAGAGCGGGGCAGGGGACACATCATAAAAGACCTCTTGTCCTAGCAAATCTATCTGCCCTTCATCGTGAAGGTTTGAGAGAGACAATTAAGGATTTTAAGCAGAGGAGAGGTATGATTATATCTTAATTAGAAAGGAGGCTGCTGGGTGAGTATGAAATGGTAGCAGGAGATTAGAGACAGGGAGACCCAGAGGGGAGGCTGTTTTCAATGATCTGGGTAAGCAAATCAGGATGGTCTGGATGAAGCAACACTGTACAGGGGCAGAGAGTGTTTTAGGGACTCATTCAAATGACTGGATATTCAGTAGAGCTATTAAAAAATTAAAAATAGTAAAGCTAGAGGCATTCTACAGAGGAGAGAGAAAATAGCAATAGTAAAAATAATAGTGCAATAGTACTAGTCAATAGTAAACAGTAATAGTAAATAGGGGAGGATTTCAGCAATTGCCAAAAATATAATGATAAAAAGAAGAGAGTTGTCAAGAGCATCCGTACAATGGAACACTCTAGAAAGATAAGGGATTCTAGAAAACTCCCTTTGGGATTTATTGCTATTCCCTCCAGCACCCTGATAACCTGGGTATCTCTTCAAGTTTCAGAGATCTTGGTCATGTGGTAACTGAGGTTTTCTTATTCTCCAACCCCTTTTTCATGTCCTGTAATGCTCCCTGCATAAAGGATAAGCTTCCTTAAATGTCACACCATGACTCCATGCTAAGAAGGCAGGTCATGATTTCCTCTGGCTCTCAGACTTCCCCGCCTGTGGATTTCTCCATCCTATTTTGCAGCATGTAGCCTTTGGGTCTCTCAATTAATATCTTCACTGATTCTCTTCCCTCTTCCTCTATGAAACTTCGTCCACATCTTATTGATACTTTCCTAGGACCCCTTCCCTTCCTTCAGTCAACAGCTGTTATCCTATTTCTACCCAGGTGCGTCAAACTTTTTGTGAAACTGGGTAGGACATACCCAAATAAAATAGAGCACCCATTTTGATTCCTAATGGCACTGCAATTTGATTGCTGCAGCCTCCTGGCTGGTTTCATGTATCTTTAGTCCTGTGCCTTCATTCAGTCCTACACAAAGAGCATGAGTCATCCCCTGAGAGGTCTGTTTTGATCATCTCTCTCCTTCTCTGAACCCTGCAGGATCTCTGAGTTTCTGCTGACGTCAAATCAAAACTGATCATGAGTCACTCTTTATCTAACTGTCCTCCACTTTCATCATAGGCTGATTGTTCTCTGCTTAATTCAAGCTGCCTGGCTGGTTCGGAGCGCACACGCGCTGTCTCTCTTCTCCAGGGCATTCGCAGAGCCTTCCACCCACCTGGCATATTTCCGCTCCTCCGGCAATGCCAGCTCCCTGGCTGCTTGCTTCAGAGCCGGGCACAATCCTTGCCTCCCTCTGGAAGGCTTTCTGGCGTTGCCCAAGTTCATCTCTGTTCCCCCCAGCAGGTCTCTCCCCACTACCTTGCTCCATCTTTACGTGCTACCACCGAGCACTTTTATTCATTTATGTATTCCTTTACTTATGCATGCATTGCTGTTGTAAAATACCGGAGAAAAAGCTGTGAACATGTAAGACATGCCCTACTCCACAGGGGCTTACCATCTAGTGTAGGAAAACATTATCACCAGAGATAGATAACCCAAAACATTAATGACTACCATGAAGTAAAGTAAAAGGTGCAAAGAGATTTTAATAGGGCACCTGATTTAGCTGAGCAGAGCTGGGGAGGCTTTTCTGAGAAAATGGCAAAGGATGAATAGGATCCCATCTGTTGAAGAACTGGGATAGGGAGTTTCCAAACGGGTAAACAGCAGATACAAAGTCTCTGATGTGGGAAAGATCAAGGAACTGTGAGACGTCTGAGTGACTGCAGTCCAGACTGTGGGAGAGCTTCACACTTGCATGCGCCTCACATAATGTGCTCACAGACCCCGTATCATAAACAAAGTCCACCTAAAGTGTTCAGTACCCAGATCAGTGTTTTCCAAACATCCTTGATGATAAGAATCACCTGGAATATTTGCTAAAATTCAGCTTCGCAGGCTCTTTCCTTGGAACATCTGATTCAGTGGGACCGGGGTAGGGCCCTGGAATGCGCTTTTTTTTTTTTTTTTTGCGGTATGCGGGCCTCTCACTGCTCTGGCCTCTCCCGTTGCAGAGCACAGGCTCCAGACGCGCAGGCTCAGCGGCCATGGCTCACGGGCTCAGCCACTCCGCGGCATGTGGGATCTTCCCGGACCGGGACACGAACCCGTGTCCCCTGCCTGGGCAGGTGGACTCTCAACCACTGCACCACCAGGGAAGCCCTAGAATGTGCATTTTTAAAGAGACCTCCAGGTGTTTTTTATCATCAGGGTTGTTTGGGATTCATCGATTTTTCACAAGGTTTGGATGATTCTGAAACGATACGAAAAACAGGAAGTGGAGAAATGGCAAACTGTAACATAGTAGAATTTCTTAAAATCCTACTATCTTTGGTTTATCTTTGTTAAAAGCAAACATTGCTAGCTGCTGTGCATATTAACCTGTCTTTAGATGTTGATTCCATAAATCTTTGCCTGCTCCCCCATTTGACCATACAGCAGTGGATTCCAACATTGGCTTCTTATCAGAATTCCCCCTCCACCCCAGGGGTGGAGCCTGGGGTTCTCTTGTTTTTAAAAGCTTCGCAGCCGTTCCTGACCTTCACCAGGGTTGTCAACCACTGTTCTTGGATATGTGTGGAAGTAGGCAGTGTATTTTTCTTCCTTGCCACTCCCTTAGCGCTACTATCAGTTCTTCAGATGGTGCAGGTTCAGGAATTTGGTTGAGCAGCTGACCCACCCTCACTCCCTGCTGTGTGATCACATACTTCTAAAACTCATGTGATCAATTATTGTCCACCTCTGCATGGTAAGTATCGACTGGCCCCAGAAACTCAAGTGCAGTGACCCTCCTGGCACTGACAGAAGCAAGGTGCCATCAGTGGCGGTGTCCCGAATACCTAAGTTTCTGATTCTTTACTGAGGAATCATATACACCTGCTTGCATGTCTCAACTACTTTTTTTTTAAGGTAGTGGTTATATCAGTGCCTATACCACAAATGGTAAGGGGTTCATGATGAAGCCTTGAGAAAAGGTACAGTGTGTTGGTTATATTTTACAAAATTCAAAAAGTCAGAATGAGGGGAAAAGAAATGTATCATCTGTCAGTTCCTGGCTGGGAATGACCTTATTAAAAGGTTAGGGCGGTAGGACCTAGTATAGGAGTCAGTTAATTGTGTGATCATGAGGAAAAAGACCAGATCAACAGGAAGAACATTTTCCCCCCAGGGGCAAGCAATAGTCGCACTGACCAAGCAAGTGAGCTCAATTGGGGGTCTAATAAGTGGACAGAGGAAAGCAATGGGAAACTAAGAGTCTGGTGATAGTTAGAGATCCTTGGGTACAAAAAGGCAGCTAGTACTGGAAATAAGTTGATTCACATGGAAAGATCTTTAACCACTGGGCTGGACAAAAGGGAAAATACGACTCTATTCCAAAATGGTTTGGAACACTAGTCAAGTTGTAATAGGCAAGTAATTCAAAACATGGCTGGCCAGGAAATAAGACAAGTCCATGTTACCATAATTGAGACCCACTTAGCAGGGACCAAATCAGAATCCCCAAATTAAAATGTACATTTTTGACTAGTTTAAAAATAGCAAGTGTTTATGCATGAACAGCAACTATAACTTGTTGTCAGCCTCAGCGTTTTGGACTTGAGTTCCCTAAATTCTTCCTGCTCAAATTAAGAGTTGTATCTCAAGACTGAGAGTGGAGTGCAGAGCATACATTTGATGGTCAAGTGTCTTTAGCTGTGGAAAAAGAAAACATGTAGGGAAAATTGAGAACAATGGTTACAAAAAGATAGGTTGAGTGTTTGATATCTTGCTTAATATTTTGCAACGATTTCTAATTTCCCAACTATGATTTTCCACTGCCTTTCAGAAGGCGTCACCTTCTCTAGTCAGGAACAGTGATTGCCCATTCCTCGCATAAGCCCCGGCTTTTGATCAAGTTCTAGAATGTCCTTCTCATCTTTATAAGTTCAGGTTCTAGTTCTCTTTGAAACTAAGCAATTATCCTTCCATCTAGAAATTTCTTTCTCCTGCCAGTTTCCACAGCACTTTTCTATCAGTTTTCTCCTACACATAATGCATTCCTGAAAACTTGTTGAAGAATTAAAGGTATTAGAAGCCAAATAACATGCTCAAATATTTTTGTGTGTTAAAAATACTACTATAAATGGTAAAATCTAAATACTTACCCCACCCTTTAGTACAAGGTAGTCTTTGATAATACTCTCCAAGACTTCTTCTTCTTCACTTATCAATTGAACATATAGTCTGATGTCTTAATTTTAAGATACTTAATTTCATAAGTGTCTAAGCTATAATCTGAAAAATTTGGCTCACTCAATAATATCTTTTTTTCAACTTTATTAAAAGTGAGATCTATAATTCTTAATGTTAGGTTCTCTACACTAAAAAAATAATCTTTACCACTTGTTATGAAACAATAAGTTAAAACACAATTAAATATCACAATAATCATAATAATAAACATACCCGGTGGGTTAATATATAATTTACATAGATTATATTTATCCAACTTGCATCATATGCGTATTCAGTATTTATATATGCATATGAATATGTAAAACTCAAATATTTCTTCTTAGTATAACAGTTGTTCCTTTAAATTGATCACTTTTTCTGATTTCTTTTCAGTAGATACCTGGAAGACTGTTATTTACCTCTTTGGGTGTTAATCCAGGCACAAGCCTTGCCACAGTTTCCCAGTTGATGGTCCGGTGGATTCCACTTAATGGGTAAGGATCATGTCCAACACCATTTGGTTGTTTAGGAAATTGTTGTTTTCTGAATATCCATGACTGATCTTTTGGAACTAGAGACAGAGAAGACAAATAGATTTATTTGCATCTGAAATCCAAATGTTTGCAGAACATTATAAATCAGTTATAATTCATTCCTAAGAATTATCTACTACTACATAAAGGAAAAATAAAACTCACCTAAAATCAAAACAGAATATATAGCTCAAATCTCTTCAAATATAACAGAATTTGAATATTATGGATTGGTGGATAGATAGAAGGATGGACAGATGGGTAAATATGCGATTAAAAAGTATGATAAAATGCTAAGGATAGGGGACTTCCCTGGTGGCACGGTGGTTGAGAATCTGCCTGCCAATGCAGGGGACACGGGTTCGAGCCCTGTTCCGGGAAGATCCCACATGCCGCGGAGCATCTAAGCCCGTGCGCCACGACTGCTGAGCCTGCGCTCTAGAGCCCGCGAGCCACAACTACTGAAGCCCACGCACCTAGAGCCCGTGCTCCACAACAAGAGAAGCCACCGCAATGAGAGACACGTGCACCGCAATGAAGAGTAGCCCCCTCTCGCCACAACTAGGGAAAGCCCGTGCACAGCAAGGAAGACCCAACACAGCCAAAAGTAAATAGCTAAATACACAAACAAACAAATAAATAAATAAATTTATTTTTAAAAAAATGTTAAGGGTAGAATATAAGTGACGGGTATACAAGTGTTCACTATAAAATTCTTTTGATTTTGCTGTACGTTTAAAATTTTTCATAATAAAATGTTGAGAGAAAAAGTTGAATACAATATATCTTCCTTAAAAAAAATCATAATAATTGAACAAATAGGCATTGCTATACAAAGATGTGACGCTACTGAACTGGACCACTGACTAGCATGCGTTAGCTGCAAATGCTAATTGTTTACCCTTCATCTGAAACTTTGAATTTAGCCACTACAATATGGGAGTGACAATGTACACTGTATAAAAGAGCAGGTTGCCCTGAAAATCAAGACCTTCCGTGATTTATAATACATTGCTATGATTTTTCATTTGGGACTGATATTTTCCTGGTATATTCTGGCACTGTCTCCCTGGTTAGTACCATTGTAGTGCTAATTGCTATGCATCACCCTTGAATACATGCATTATCTCCCTTATGGGGTAGGGATTCCTTATACCCACTGTAGCATCTAGAACAGTGATTTGTGCAAAGCAATCCCGCATTCACTGGTACTGCACCTAATATTTTCCAAATACTTTCTGGAACATGGTCTCCTTTTAAGCTAACAACATTACAGGGGCCTGGGTATGCTGGATATTTGTGAGGTCTCAGGCGGAACGCATGTCTTTGCAACAGCAAAATGGAAAAAATGGAAGGATGGACAGAGGTGACTTGCTCATGTTCATGAACTTGCACATGAATTAGTAAGAGGTAAAACTGGGGCCCAAATCCCAATTGTCAAGTCCTTTTGTTCCAGAGGGCTTCAATAATAATTGATTGAATGTATGTGTGAATATATAGGTGGTTCCTGTGGCCTGTCTGTACTCTGGTTAGTTAACAACTTTTTCTGATGTTTAGAACCATACCAGAACTGTGCCTCCCCTAACGTTCAGGATTTTCAGAATCCATCCAGGGACATGGAAAACTGGCCTAGGGTCTGATGCCAGAGCCTTCTCACTCACACTAGAAGGGAGAAAAAGGAATTATGACAGTGGAAGAGAAGTCATTTGCTGAGGAGTAAAGGAAAATCATAGTTTGGTGTCAGTACATACACATATATAAATTACTAATAGGACCCAACTAAAGTTTGGAACTAGAGAAAAAGAGTTGGAGCTACAGCATTTTGTACTGAATGGTGGGAATTTACCATTATACAAAGCGAATTGAGAAGGTAAGAAACCTAACACTTTGGTGGGGGACGGTGGAAGGATGTCATTAAATCTTACTGCTGTAAAAAGCTCTAAGGGTGTAACATTGGTCATACGTAGACATTTTCTGTCATTCCAGTTCTTTATCTATGAAATAGTTTAATCTCCTTTTTGGTTTTCATGGAGTCTTTGAGTAGAGAACAATAAGGTCTAATCTCATTGAGTAACTACGAAGTGATACAAGGGCCCCAGAACTGTTTGCCTTTCTGTGTATGTTGAGGAGGGCCCATGAGAACTGATGTCAAAATATGTAAGTCTTGATAAGAAACAAAAGCGCTTAGATTTTCTCAAATTTCTCCCCATGAAAGTCTGTACCTAAGTAAATACAGATACTCTCTGATACATTAATTTCTTCCCAAACCTGGACCTATTCCAATATAGATGTTTTTTAGCCAATGTTCTACTCAAAGAGTATTTATTCTGTTTTTTCTCAGTAAAGTAAATATTTGTCAATATTTTGATCAACTATGTCTTGATATATTTTGCATGTAGTGATATGTAAGTGAAAGATAAGGGCATTATCTAAAGCTGCATGGGTTGGTCTTTGATAATTTGGTGACATTAGATGCAAATACTCATTTACTGACATTTCTTCTTCAGTCAGAGACTTTAGAGAAACAATAAGTTTTTCTTTTGAACTTGTATCAGTAAAGACAGAGTAATCAGAAATCCTAAAATGAGAACACTCTAGCATTAGAAAATGAAATTCTGCAGTTAAGGAAGTTGAAAAATATTTATCGGACCCTATTGTAGAAGTTTAAAAAAACAGGGTTTGGCTACTGCAGACCAAGTAGGAATAAATCTGACTGAATCTTTAAAGTTATTAAGAATACATCCTTTTTAGGATGGATTGAAATCCAGTGTAGAATTAGATAATGATAACGACTTGGGAATTCCTGAGCTTGTTTTTCTCTTGGTAGAGAATACGTTCCTCATACATCTGGCATAAAGGGAAACTCCATCTCAGTCCTGAAAGGGTGCTTGTTTTGTTTTGTTTTGTTGATAATAGTCTTTAGTGTGAGTTTCTCTCAGTGGATGCTGAGTAGAACTCATCATATAAGAATGGTTGGTTTACAGAACTTTGATGGCTTTCTATGTCTTTTCTTTCCTCTCTTGCAAATAAAGGTTCTCAGCACTATTTTCATCATGAAAGACTGAAGAATTACCATTGGTTCATTTTACAGGAAAGCCAGACCTCCATGAAATAGCAGGTATATACTTACTTTGGAAATATGCAGTATCTTGTAAGAGCTGGCTTAGAATGTAAAGAAACTTGACAATCAAAACCATAATGACCTAATGAGAAAACACTCTCTCTTTGCCATAAAGTATATCAACTGCATAGACACTTCACAGATGGATTTTGTTTCTTTGGTTTTTTAGGACCTATAATTTCTTGATGCAAGTCTTGGGGGAAAACACCTGTCCTAAAATGTTTAAACATTTCTAGCTTGACTTAAGATGTCATTTGGTCTGAAATAGGATATGCGGTATGAAACCAATCCATAACTGAAAGAGATCTGAACGGCAATATTGGTGATTGAAACATATCAGAATGACAACATGCTCATTGGTCTCATTGACCTGAAATAATTTTCTCTGTTCAGTGTATATTTTCTTAAAGTTAAATTTATGGCCTTTTGCAGAGTGCGTGAAATCATCAGTGTTTGCCCTGACAACGGTAGTAAGTAAAACAAGGACCACCAACTGGGTAAGATTTCTTGCATATATCTCTGGGCTCTGTATCACTGTAGATTTAAAACGTCAAACATTTGTGCTTTGTCTGACTCAACTAAAGCAAGTGCGGCACTGTACTCGTTGTCACCCAATAATCCGTGATTAATTTTTGGGAGAACCCTATCTACTTTTCTTGGTACACCGTTTGCCAAATCAATATTAAAACCACAGTTACTTGATCTTTCATGGATATTAGCATTCAAATAATCAGAACTTAACTGATTATTTGAGAGTCAGACAAATGATTTGAAGGAAAATTACAGATGGTCCTGGGCAGGGTATATGGGTGCAAGAAAGTGGTTGGGTGGGAATTTAGTTGCAATTTGTCCTCGATTCTTCTAAGTTCTTAGCCTTCGCCCATGTTGGCAGGATATAATAGAATATTATAGCTGGAAGTATCCACCGTGTCGATTTTCTTGGCCACAACATCAGCAGAGTATTAGCTTCTGTGCTTTAGTAATCAACTTTCAACATGTCAATGAATTCCAAGGTCTACAGCACCATGACTTTGCATGCATCTCCTTTCAGTGTTGACTCATCCTACATCAGGAAATTCCTCCTGAAAACACCTTGAAAAATAACTGTCAAGAATGGTAAATATAAGGAAAAAGATGTTTTCCTTATATCTGACTGAATTCTCTGCAATTAATACTCCTTCTTATCTAAGTTTTGATAAAGTAAACAATCAATGGATTATTGTTTTCTTCAAAATAATCCTTCCTCTTCCAAGAAATGGTCATGAAACTATCAATAAAAACGTATACATCTCTGTTCCTCAAAGAATCAGAATTTTTGTTTTTGTTTATTAGTCCATGTACCTGTTTTTATTCCTTTAATAAGCGCTATTTATTCATCTTTATGAACCCTTTCTAATCACTATCTGTATTTTTTTTGCACAGGCTCCCGACGCACAGGCTCAGCGGCGATGGCTCACGGGCCCAGCCGCTCCGCAGCATGTGGGATCTTCCCGGACCAGGGCACGAACCCGTGTCCCCTGCATCGGCAGGCGGACTCTCAACCACTGCGCCACCAGGGAAGCCCTATCTGTATTCTTAAATGTTGAAGATTGAACCCATTTCCATCCAGTTTTTAGTGTCAGTTGGTTTTTACTGCTTGTGATGCAACTTAGTTACCTGTAACTTTTCCTAAGTATAAAATGTTAACGTAATGAGAGTCTTACTTTTGATCACTTCATTTCAATGCATCCCCAAACTGTCCTCATTCCAAGAATAGGAAGCTGAAAACGTGAAGCCAGGTTCATCTTTGTCCCTGCTAAAATAGCTGTCATTTTATCTTAAGACAGTTGTCCTTTTCTATAAGTATGGAACATTGGGGAATAATTCTCTTGTTTCTAGGAGTCAGAAAGGGCAATAAAATGTGCAGAATGACATTTGTTCAAGCAAAATAATAGAGTTATTCATCTAGTCAGCAAATATATACTTTATGCTCACTGAATATAAAAAAATGCTTTCGGGCTTCCCTGGTGGTGCAGTGGTTGGGAGTCCGCCTGCCGATGCAGGGGACACGGGTTCGTGCCCCGGTCCGGGAAGATCCCACATGCCGCGGAGCAGCTGGGCCCGTGAGCCATGGCCGCTGAGCCTGCGCATTCGGAGCCTGTGCTCCGCAGCGGGAGAGGCCACAATAGTGAGAGGCCCGCGTACCGCAAAAAAAAAAAAAAAAAAAAAAAAATGCTTTCAAAATACCATAATTTATTTAAATTCTGCTCTTCTTTTGGAGAGATAAATTGTATTTTAGGGAAGTATTTATATTTGTTTTTTTCTATTACTGTCTACAGTCTTTGAAAATGTTGTTATGATAGATATATCTTCGTATAGAAAATCTGAAAAAAATACAGACATGGATAAAGGTAAAAATGAAAATCAATTAAAATTCCACAAAAAGTAGAGATTGTTGTATATCCTTTCAGTTTTTTTGAAGAAGATGTACACATTCATAATTTTTTTAAAATAATTTATCAACAAATGTTCACTGTATGCCTGTATGAGCCAGGTACTACCATCAGAATATCTACTCTACTGAATAAAAGTGTTTCTCTCCTAACAGAGTTTGCAATGTAGTTGGGAACACAGATGACCAAAGTGTAAACCAAGATGCATTTAGTATTACTAATTGTAATACTGATATGAAACAAACAAATAAACAAAAAAAAAGTGCCATGATTGAGAATAACAGAGTTAGGGCAAGACATACTTAGCTGGGGTGGTTAAGGGAGGTGTTACAGGGCAGGTAACAGTTCAGATGAAGGCAAGAGGATGAGAGATGACAGCCATAAGACTTACAGGAAGAACAGCATTCCAACCCACAACCTGGTTCTATAAAGATAGTTGAATATCTTCCTTTGATGCTGTTAATTCTGTTATGCCTCGTAATAGCTATTTGAGTCCTTAGACCTGATCTTCCAAATGTGTCCCTGCTAACTTGCTAGCTGGCTGGTACACAGCTGACAGAGTTGATGATGTTTTAATCACTTGGTCACCTGATCCAGTTTCAGTCTCTTCCTGTGAAATATACCTGTCATCACAAAGGTGAACACCAACAGAATTCAGAAAATGTTGCAGAGGTGGTAGAAAAGCAAGTCATAAATTTTGAAGTTGAGAGAAGAAATATTCTGAAGTCACCCCAGCTCTTTAGTTCAGCTAGTTACTACGAATGCTGATGATATAAAAGCTGTATTTTTAAAATCAACTAAAGCTAGTGTGTAGATTCAGTTGGTTCTAATGCATCAGTGGAAATGTATTCTTATTCTTTAATTCATTGAGGAGGATATGATGACCAGAGTAAAATAGGCTTTCTCAAAAAATGAAAACTATAGTTGTGGGAAATAAGTTGAAGTAGAGAGAACAGTACAACTGTTTACCTTGCCTTTTGCATCTGAAGAGACAAGGCATACCCAGCCGTATCTATATCCCCTTTTAAAATTAGATCAGAAAAGAGCAAACACTTCATATTTCATCCTAGGGAAACACAATTCATACTCTTTGTTTCATGAGGACCCACCCCTTAAAACATAAGGCCTGCATTTCTCAAGGTCCTAGGAAGTTTTCTGAAGTGACATGACAATTAAGTCAATTGAAAACCAAAATTCCAGATGCTTCACAAGGGGACTGCTCTGTGAAGACATCCATACTCGGTGTTTAAGCTTCGGCTTAGGAGGTGCTTTATTCAGCATAAACATTTTCTGTGGGTCAGAGCAACTGCTGTTTTAATGCTTCAAATCAAACACACTCGGAGGTTTAGAGATGAAAAAATAAATATTTGCAAACAGTGGTTGAATTGGGCAGACTGTTCACTCTAGTTCTCTTTGAGGATTTTCAAATCTTCTATTTTATTACTGTTTCTGAATTTACCAATAAAAACAGTCACCTTGGCCACCAAGAAGGGACTTTAGAAGGAGCTATTATGCAGTTCCATGAATGTTAACAGATGAGACTTCAAGCCTGAGAGGGTCCTTCAGCGGCCCCGCATCTTAAAACACATGGTCCCTTACAGTTGACTGTCAGCCATCAGAAAGGCTATTGTTCCTATTGCCCAGTAGAAAGGGCATATTGAATAATAGAGGAATTGCTTACAATTCTTAATAAAGTTTGTACATGATTTAAATATTATAAAAGAATGTATTACCCAAGGTTTTTGGAAAATTTGAAATATATGTCTAATTTAGAGTTATGTAACTTTTTATGTATGGTGAGGCGTTTTTAGAACAGTTTAGACGAATACAAAGGCTTCCTTGTTTATTTTACATATTTTGAGCTAAACATACGTATGCCTCACAACTAATGCTGATTCTTTTGTGTGGACTATTTTATGATGTATTTTGTTATGACTCTTACTTCTTTCCTAGAGCCTATTTCAGGATAAAGCCACTCATAAAGGGAGAAAGGGAACAATACACAAACTTATTTGAGACTGGGAATTTTCCCTCACAGTGTGTGTGAAGTAGGTGGATAGAGATGGGGGTACAGGAAACAGAAAACATCAGCCAGTTTATCAGTGTATTGTAGAGCCTAAAATTGTGACCCTGAAATTCTTTTTACTGACTCTGCTAAAGGCAAATCTGCCCTGTCCAAAATACTTACATTTCTGAATTAAAATTATCCTAAGTTTATGGCTTATTTCCAAGGAATAGACCAGGTCTAACATGCAGATGAATGAAGATTGCTCTTTCTTTTGGTTTTAGAGCTTTCTGTTCATATTATTCAAGGCTCTATTTTCTCAGTATTTGTACCAAAGAATATCAAATGCAGAATATGAAAATTTCTTGTGGATGGAGGCCTCAGAACATTCTAGCCACTGATTTTCAATTGGTGTAACGTGTCATACGCTAATAGGCTCTCCAGACCTCTCCAGAGGGCCTGGTCCACATATTAGCATTCTCCAAAGAAACAGAAATAATTTTATATATACATATATATGAATATCTAGAAGATGTACATTTGTATAAAGATATAGAGATAACACATATGCATATTGTATACATATATATGTACGTATGGAAATTTACTATAAGGAATTAACTCATGCAGTTATGGAGACTGAGAAGATCCTCCCAGATCAGCAGGCAAACTCAAGAGCCAGGACAGCCAATGGTTTAGTTCCAGTTCAAGTCCAAATCCAAAGGCAGGAGAAGACCAGTGTCGCTGCTCAAAGACAGTCAGGCAGAGAGAGAGAGAATTCTTCTTATTCAGCCTTCAGTCAGGATGTTAATAGATTGGTGATGTCCACACACGTTGGGGAGGGCAATCTGCTTTACTCTCTGTGGATTCAAATGCTAATCTCATCCAGAAATACACTCATGGACACACCCTGAATAGTGTTTAGCCAAATATCATGGTCCGGTCAAGTTAATACACAGAATTAACCATCACACTCAGGACTTTTAAACAGTTTAAATGAACTCAGGCTTCACTTAGGCACCAGCATTATACATTTATCTTTTAAACTGGTAAAGCTGGG